GAGAGAGAGAGAGACAGACACAGAGCATGCTTGACCGCCTTCCCTACGTGTTCTCTTCGTGTCTTGAAGATCGTTTGCACGTGTAAACGTATTTAGAGGCGCGTGACCGTGAGGAATAGAAAGATTGTGATAGAAAAGATTGCGCGCTGTTTCTTAACTGCAGCTACATTCGCGGATTTTTCGATAACGTGGCAAAAGTCGACGAGTTTCTCCATGTATATACTTGTACCACTATGTATATACTTCTGAAGATACGGAGATACGCGTCGTATAACTCATCAAGGACAACTCTTTTAGTCTCCAATGTTGTAATTCCGAAATTATTCAATTTCATTGAAAGCGAATAATTTTTCCAAATACAATTAGGCTCGCCTCTTATATATTTATAAATCAAGTACTTTTATTGCTAGTATCTCACAGGTGTCACTGAATAGTTTTGATCGATATAATAATCGTTATCACAATCAATAATTTTTGTGGTAACATTTCTCGAGTTAGCATTCTCGATGCAAATTCTGTTTTGCTTACAATCCATCATTTTTTACCTCCTCATATTGTAAAGATAAAGATGTTGTATGTCGTGTTTATATGTCGTAGAAAAAGTCACGCAAACTAATTACTAGGGGGTTACTAACTATTACAGAATTTGAATGCATTTTTATTCTATGCATTTCTGATCACTTTCGATATTATTGTAAAATTAGAACGTGACAATTTAATGGACAATAATTACGCACATCTCACAAAGAAACGCTCGTAGCGATGAAAGTCTCTTTGTGTAGCGATAACTAAATAAATAAATATATATATATATATATATATATATACATATATATATACACACACACACACATAGCTAAATTTCCTAGTAAGACAAAAGGAGAGTTTCATTCGGAAATTCGCACACGTTTTTTCACATTAACATTTGAAGATATGAGTGAAGAAGATCATCCACGTTAAGCGATCCTCATTAATACGAACAATTTGGCTTTGCAATCGTGTCATATATTCTTTCGATCTGTGCTGTCAAACTTGTGTCGACGTTTAAAATAAGATGAATACATGAATAGATTGATTATTAAAATAATTATTAAAATTAAACTAGCTACAATAGACATAATAGCCACCAAAAGTTCCAATAAGCGAACGTTTTAATTTTGATAACGATATGATAGACCATTAAGAATTGATAATGTCATATGATAATGTCATATAGTCTTGAGAATGCAATTGAGAATGCATATTGTTGCATTGATTGTAGATTTTACATATATTGTAACACATTCAACGGTCATCGACTGGTGATCGGTAACCAGCCATTGACTGGCACACCTGTCCATTCCAACGAATGGAAGCGAATGGAAATAAACCACCTGTTGCAAGTATACGCCCGTTTGTCGTCATCAATCTGGTGTAATAGACGTATCGATTAACCTTTTAGCCGTCCGAATTGGTAATAGCTACGTCAACTTGTTTCATTTCGAGGATTATTCGTGAATACATACAACTACGCGCGATTTGTCGTGAAATGTATAACGGCGTGAGATATAAATTTTATATAAATTTATATATAGAAATTTATTATTTATATAAATTTATTTATATAAATTTTTAAATGATGGAGAACAAATAAAGGGTACAATTTATAATAACCTAGTATTAAGAAAATTTTTGAAAAACCAATAATTTGGTATTGCATATATCGATGTTCGATTGTCTATTTCGATTGTCTCGTTGTCATGGAGATAGAAAAACATTTCTCGCTTGTTGTTTTTTGCATTATTACGTATAGATCGTAATATTATTTCTTAATGTTGGAAGAGCGAACGATTGCCAATCATATAACATAGCGGTTGAAAGACGAATCTGTCGCTTGTCGGCAAATGATCAGTTATTGATTACATATTTGAGCATTTAATTGGCTCAGCACTTGAATAATTATAATATTTACGTTACGACGAAACGAGAAAGCTACCGAAGATAAATTGTTGCCTGGCAAATGTAAAAAACATTTGATAGCGAACTTGTGGATGTAGTATCGAATGAGCCTGTTATGTGACATTTTATTAATTTGCCGACCAAATCTATTACAACTTTCGCCTTGTCATCGATTTTATAAATGTCTCATATTTTATATATATATATATATATATTTTTTTTACCTGTTATACCAACATGTAGCGATATGTATCTATTATATCAATACCGCGGTTTTATCAATACCGCGCGTGTCATAATTCGCGTATATTACTGATAAAACTATCTTTTACAATGGAAAATTACACTATGTTCGAGGCAAATACGCGATAAAAGTTGATCTGCGTTGAGCTGACGTCTTTAAGTAGGCATCGCTAGTCTACTTAACCATTTTGATACAAAATATATCAAACATAGAGTAGTTGACATTTCTTGACATTAATATGTAACTTTTAACATTTAATAATACGTAATCGCGATTATATTATTGATCAAAATATCGAGAATAGAAATTTAAATGGCAAGTAAGAATTGCTTTTGATAAAATTTAGACCGAGTCTGTAGAAAGTTGTTCTATCAGTGGCGTTACATTACAAATAAACCACAATTATTAGATGTATGTTTCACACTGCATACAATCGATATGCTGTAGCGATCATTTTTAGCAATTACTTTTAGCAATTATTTTTTTATGAGTGCACAGACCTAGCACGTCATCGCATCATTTGCATTGTTTTATTGATTTTAAACGATGGATATTGATTTGATATTGCTCCAATATTGTTTGATATTAATATAATTGTCTCTTGAAATTGTACAATTATTTAATCGTAGTGAAAATCGCAAACAATTTCAATTTATAAAGATAAAGATAAATTATTTTGTACGCAAAGAACTCCCTATCTTTCCAAATAGATAAAGAGATGCTACGTAATGATGCATCAGAAAAAAATTGGAGGTTATTGAGAGTAGTTGAGATTTGGTCGTCTTCAAGTTTCATCCTTCGTTCGTCAAACAAATTGTCAGATCGGAATCTCGGGAATTTTATCAGTAATATTAATTTACAATTATTGATAGCAAAAGCGCATTAGGTGATCCAATTCTCGTTACAATGACAAGAAAAATTTACAATTTATAAAAACACGACAAAAAGATTTACCTTAGCAGATGAAAATTATCAATCACATATGGACCGCGTCAAATTTGTTGAAAATATCTAAATTTGACTTGCAATCCTTTTTAACACTAAAGGTAACTTTTTACATAACTTTTTGCATAACTTTGACAGGTTATAGTGATGAAAATATGCAGACACACGTATAATGTAATATTCTTGCCATCTAGTATCTAGTATCTCTATTAACACTTTTATTATTAATACTACTACTATCAGAGATAGCGAGATATTACGTAATATGATTACGTATGACGATCAAATGTCGAGTTTGCATTGATGTAACCATCTTGTTTTCTAACCAGAAATATTTTGAATGAAATGAAAAATTAAGACATTATGTAAAATTAAGATGACCTAATGACCTTTTTATCTTATTATCTTGAAATTAATTTAGATAATATTTTGCTTCTTATATTAACATAAATATTTGTTGATACTAATATGATTTTACTTTTATTATTACTTGTTATATTCACCTTTTTGTTTATGAATCAAATCACATCTTCGTAATTATTGCTTTTTACAACTTGTCATTCTTAAGGTTTACATCAACAATTCATATCAAAACTGCTGACGCAGGAATCAATTTGTTCGACTGACACATTTGCCGATCGTATCTAACATGCTCCATTAATTCTGTAGAAAGGCAGTTTTCCGTTACCGACATTGAACGAAATCTTAAAACCATCCTTCAAGAACGCGAATAAATTTACGACAACTGTCGACAGTTTTGACTTGCTCCATTACAATTTATGTATAGTTTGTTAAAGTCCTCGTATCGAAATCGAATTTTGATCGTGTCTTAAGATTCTCTGTAGATTCTAGATAATTAACACACGACTCTTTCTTCAATGTTTAGCGAGTCAACATTTGCTTTCACTTTGAAATGCCTCTATTTATGATTAAGCTTTAATTCGAATCAAATGTCAGTCACCTTTGTTGCGGTAAACGAAAAGAAGTGCGATATTCGATAACTACGGAAATATTTATATCGCACGAACAAACGCCTTTCTATTATAACTAGTATTTTATGATTTTATCATTCCGATAGCTTCCGGGACAAGCTATAGGTAAAATAAACTTTCTTTCTCCAGGATATGACAACGTTATCGAAGTTAAAAGTAGCATTAAAATACAAAAGAAATAATGAGAAAATAAGGGAAAGAAATGAAGTATGTGTGTGTGTGTGTGTGTGTGTGTGTGTGTGTGTGTGTGTGTGTGTGTGTGTGTGTGTGTGTGTGTGTGTGTGTGTATGTATGTGTGTGTTTTGCTTAATCTGTACGATATGTACTTTGTAACAAAATGCAGCTAGATTAGTATCGTTTGCAATAATTACATGCGATAAATACATGAGAAAGTTACAACAATGAGGCATATGATTGGATGATAATATGCGTCGGCCTTTTGTGATTAAAGCAGCTTGCGTATCGTAATGAAAAGTGCAAGCACTAGAAAAATAATTGTTATTAATTATGTGACATTCTGACAATGTTGTATGCGTGGTTATCACTATCTTATGATTTTTCTTCGAGATTCGAGCAGTATAGATATTTGAACTTTCAAAAACAAAATAGAATGACAATTCCTTTTGAGACATTTTTTTAAACATTTTAAAATTCACACAAAACTGTGTGACCGTTGACTTGTGTGATTAGAATACTAAAGCATCTAAATTCGTAAGTAACATTTTGACTCGAACTTTATTATACACAACAAATTTCTCCTTTTGAATTTTAATGATACAACTTTCTACTGTGACTATTTAATGATATTAAGGAAACTTTATCGAGATTTTGCTAAACTTTGCTATGATGATATACAAGATGTCATATTTTAGTCTATTATTCTCTAAAATGAAATAAATCGATTGATGTAAAAAAAACAACGCAGTTGTTTAAAATCTATATATATATAAAATCCTTATCAGAATTATCACAAGAAAAAATCGATAAATATATAAATCGGTAAATCGACGTGTGTGCGTGTGTGTGCGTGTGTGTGTGTGTGGTAAATTCTTATTACAAATTTATCACGACAAGAGAAAATTGATACAACGAAGTGGAACTTTTGAGAAGTCTTCTTCTGTCTTTTCCTTTTTTATTTTTGACATATGTATAACCATCTCATTGTACAACTTTTCAATTTCCTTCTTGTCATACGCAGGGAGGACAAGGTGGTTTCGAGGATGTGCGAAGATATGTTAAGCAAGGAGGCGACTTTTGCAAGGAATTGGCATCAATTCTTCACGAAAGGTATTTGCGTTTTCTACTTCTATATTCCATTTTTTTATTTTGTTGCGCACACAATTTTTCAAGAAAATGCGAAAATATACGTTTCAGAGCCGAATTGGAAGCCACTTATGCGAAAGGACTTAGCAAACTCAGTAACAAGTTGACAAAGGCCTGCGCCAAGGATCAAGGTGATTGTTAATATAAGCAATTTATTGCATTTGTCGCGTTAGAGAGTGCATTTGTGATTTATAACAATAGATATTCTTTCCATATGAGAAAATATCCAGATAGGATTTTTCTTTAACGAAAATTTTTTATCAAGTTTTTAATTTAATAATGAACATCACACTTTTTGCTTCATCGTAAATATCGTTAAAAATTTACATATTACGCCTCTCTCTCTCTCTCTTCCTTCCTTCCGGTGAGCCAGTTTATCTTTTCACTTTTCGAACGGTGCAAATATCGATGAGAGCACGGCGTGTTGCAAGATGGGTGGTACCCATAGTAAGATGATTTCCTTTAAATAGGAATTGCGTCTTTCGTAATACAGGTGGTAATAGCAACGGAGGTGTGAACGAGGCATGGAGGTGTGTCGGCGAGGAGATGGAGGCTGCGGCGGAAGCCCACCGGCTATGGGGCATAGCGTTGAGTGAACAACTGGCCAAACCACTCAGAGTAAGTAAACCGAGTCTAGAGAGATAATTATGCATTTCTAACTATACATGCGATACGAAAAAACTTGCGACGATTGCGAGAAGATTGCGAGAAAAAGATGATGCGCAACCGCGCACTTACGTAACTTCACAGGCACGGCCTCGCGAAAGACGAACGTTACGGAACAAAATTAAAATCGAAGATTGCAAGAAAAATTTCTTTTCAATTTATTCTCTTCATCTTCACCAGATTATATTTCGCTGGCGAAAAGTACACGATCGAATTGTTGAAAGATTAAGATAACGATTTGACACGAGATTACATATGATGCAGGTAAATCTCTCGAGAAATTTTTTTAAGTTAGTTTTTCTCTTCGCGAAAACTTGAATCCACGAGACATCGCAACGATGTCTCGTAATGTTGAAAACATATTAGATACGCTATAATATAGAGATATCATTGAAACGTCGTAGAATAAAAGACGACGAATCTCATCTCGAGACCGAAGAAGTAATATAATGTGATCTTTCGTATATAGGTGGGCGTAGCGGAGACGCAGAGTCGATCGAGAAAGAGCGTTGAAAACTCGGTGGACAAGGCGTCCAAGTCCCTTCAGGAATGGCGTGGGATCGCGGCAAAAAGCAAAAAGCAGAGCTTTGCGTGCGCGCGCGAGAACGAGAGATTGCAAGATCTGGCGCGGTTGCAGACCATTAGTCAAAGTCAGCAGAGCAACAACAGGTCGTCGAGTCATCACGTGACGGAGAAGGAAGCGAGCAAACTGGAGGCTAGACGGAGGAAAGCCGAAGACTCGTCGCGCCGGGCGGACACAGAGTTTTACACGGTCAGCGTGAGAGCCGAGAGAGCCCGACTTGAATACGAGAGCACGATGAAGAAGGGCGCGAAGCAGATGGAATTGGTCGAGGAAGAGCGATTGAGCGCTCTCAAAGACCTCGCCAATGTCTACTTGACGCACTTGCAGGCGCTCGCGCCGCGATTGCAACAGGTAATAATAATACAGGAAAGTTAGACTACGTGCGCGCGGCTTTTGTCCAGAATTCCGAACGTGTATGACTCAAATTTCACTCAATTTCGTATACTTTCTCAGAGCGCCGATCGCCTGCTAACGCCTGTGCGCAGTTGCAACGTGTCACAGGATCTGGAGATATTAAAAAATCTTGTACGCCGAATGGACAATCATGATGTGACGACGGCGGAACAGTTGCTGCCAGATTTCTACGCCGAGCACGTTACCTTGGCGATGAACCGCGAACGACGAAAGCAAGCCTTGGTGAGAGTACTGCATCTGATAAGGCAAGATCTGGAGAGGGAAAGGCGAGGTAGAGAAGGTCTGGAAACTTTACATCGAGCCTTCGTCAAAACTCCAGCGTTTGCGGCGGACGAGAGCACGCAAAACGTGACGGACAAGCTGCATCATGTATGCACCACTTCCATGACGTATTCTGACCGGCGTTACATCGCTACATTGAGAATAATAATATTCTAACATATAATATTCTAATTAAGACTTATATTAGGGCGATATGTGAATAATTGCAACATCTTTTTATAGATGCGCTCAATGTTGTTGTACTTGGAGGCGGCTAGATATAAAGTTGGCGGTACACTTGCCGAAGTGGAGGGTAGCAAACGGAGCAAACATCCCTTATCGGAGCATATCTTAGTTTCGAGAGATAAGCAAGGCTTGCAGCAAAGTGTTCTCAAGGTATAATTGCGTATGCTAGAAAATTGCCTTTAAATCAAATTCGTCGGTCAAACACGAAACGATCTGAAGAAATATTGAACGGGCATTACATCAAAGACATTACGTTAAGATTGCTTAAGGCAATGCTGATCTAACGAGCGAACTCCGACGAGAGTGTTCACACATATGCATATTTAAACGTATATAGATACATTTATGTATACATACATACATTTTTACACGCGTATAAATAAATGTTCATATCACATTAGGTATCTAGCCTAATTCTAAGAACTCAAGGTTGTTTCTTCATATAATCTCTAGTTTAGTAATATCAATTTTGTAGGTACAGGCCGCAAAATTTTTATATAAAGCAAGTATTGATATAATTTAATATCTTTGGACGCCATATTAAAGTACCAAATCGTTAATAACATTCGAGTTCAGCATTTCCTTAATTATGTATTTTATTTTTTCCCTGTTCCTACTTCCCCACTTTTGTTTCTCCTTCACTTTTGAGAAGATAAAGAAAAACACATTGCAGATTCTTTTCTTTGCAGATTCCTTCTTGGGCAAAGAACGAATCCTTTGAAATTCAAGACAGCGACGACGAACTTGAGATGCATTTGGCGAAGGATCAAGACACCGAGACTCGTGATTGGGCCGATCGAACGGCCGGTGACGGCAATTCCGAGAATCCACCGGATGAGGATGATTTTAGCGATTTTGACGAGTTCAGCAGTCACTCGGAGGATAACAACAACCAGATCGATGGTACGGAAGTGGCGACGAGCAAGACCGAACGTGCGGAGCAGTGCCGAGCGATCTATCAGTACTCCGCGAATCTAAATGACGAGCTCAGTCTTAGTCCGGGAGATCTGATAACCGTCCATCAAAAGCAGCCAGACGGCTGGTGGATAGGCGAGTGTAGAGGCCGTACCGGTATATTTCCTGCCACTTACGTTCAAGTTATTCATTAATAAATACGATTAATTTGGCATATTAACATTTAAAAGATTTTCACGTAACAGGTACACAATATGACATGACGAGACGTAATGATGACAGTATCTTTCAGTATTTGGCTTCGTTAAATCTGGTAAGAATATTATGATGTGCCAATAATATATATTACACGTGACATTATTTTACACGCACAAAAAGATTTTGATCATGAGATCGTATAAAATTTGAAAATTAATACCAAATAGTAGTTACCATCCGATGAATCTAGCTTCAACAGAGTCTGGCGGAAATATTTTAATTATATCTTTATCATTTATATATATATTTGTCATTCTGACTGCTATATGTATAATTAGTGCTTGTTTGTATTAGAGTTTCTAATTGCGACTCTAAGAATGTATTTTTATTAATTCTAACAATGTGCATTTTAACTCATGCATTTTATCTTGTCAGAATATACAGCGTGTTTGAAAATTTAGTCTATCGATCGTTTTGATTGAGAACTGAAATTACTGTGTCCTATTATGAGATGATATCGTTATGAGCTGTATAGCTCGCGCATTTATTTTTTTGTCGTAATTATAATCATCCATTTACACTTGAAAATTTTGTTTGTTAATGCTATTGTTATATTTGCAACGACTATCTTTTATATTTAGCTCGTTAGAGTATTCTGATGCAAAGAGAAAGCCTGGAGACAAAACAATATTTAAATTGGAAAGTGTTGCGATTTATTATATTTACTTAATGGAATGCTATTACTTATATTTACGAAGATATCGAAGATATACCAAATAACGTATCCACTACAGTGGATTTGAGTAAAAATACGGCTCACCAGCGTGATGTTCGGGGTGCACCATACTAAGGTCCAAATACTTGAAACATTATACATCCAAATACTTGAAAATATTACTTTACTCAAGCATGCTATATACGTATACATCGCATCTTATTTTTAGTTAAAATTATCACATGTATGAAAATTGAAAATATTGAGTACAGCAAACGTCGAAATAAGCGAAATACGCGAAAAAATAAAACGCTTATACTAACAAACGTGACAAATTGTATATATAAAATTATTTGTTATTATGCAAACAACCAATTGTAAATATCCAAATGTAAGAAATTATTTAAGTATAATATGTTACACACAGAACTGATAACACTTTTATTTACAAATACATAAGTTTTCTGCTCAATCCTCCAACTCATCAAAGTGATCTTGTTGCAATTGCTCCCTGACTTCTCGTATGATGTCGGTGCTATTAGCTGTAACAAGATGACTATAACAAGATAACGAAATGATTATGTTATTATTTAACACAAGTACCGCAACAACACATTTACCGCAAAATGGACTGGTGCTGGCAGTAGCTACGAAAAAGGTACCGCGCTGATCATACAATTCCGCCCTAATGCCCATCTCTGTACAAACGTTTGTATCGCATGGTTCCGCAATTATTTGAAAAAGATGCCTGTATGTCAAATCCCACCGATGTGCCCAGAAACTGCAATTGCGCGCAGTAGCAGACGTCAACGATTCGGTGAGGTAGACGTAAGAACGTCCGTGGCTACATATCGCCTGTTGCATCGCTGTAAGCGCAACAACCAATATTTTTCTCAGCCATTCCATTTCTTAGACCATCGAATAATCGTTTTACCACTACTAACCAATCATCGGGATCTGTAGATAATCGAAGTACGATGAATTTGTCCTTATACAACCAGGTTGCATTTTACCGCCGTTTGGATAGAAATCAATGTGGCCTATATATCAAAATAACAATTCAGAAATTATATATAAATGAGAGAGAGAGAGAGAGAGAGAGAGAGAGAGAGAGAGAGAGAGAGAGAGAGCTTCTCTATAACAGCAATTTACAAATTACATATTATTCGACGAGCATATGCATCGAAGAAGAAAAAGAAAGCGCATGCGAATGTTTCTGTATAAAAATTAAGTGTTATCTAATCAGTTACCTATAGCTTCGGGTAAGCCGAGACCCATACTCGTGAGTAATTTGCCATTTGTATGTATTACATCAACGAATGGCGCATCGTTTTTGTGCAAATGAACAGACGCGTCAGTCTTGCGGAAACACGGCTGCGCCGGGTCCAGACCGGTGATTCTCCGTACAATCCATTCGGTCTGTCTCTTTTTCAGCTCCTTTGCGACAAATCCGCAAATGTGAGCGCCAAGACTATGTCCTATCAGATGTAAAGGACCCCAATTATTTACATCCGGTTCGTCTTTAGTGAGCGTAGCATTTGTTACATGTTCTATAAATCTTGAAAAACGAGTTGACATTAGAAACGATAGACATATTTAATACCGATATGTACTTGACACAGACGATATATAATCCTATTCGAACGCTTCGAAAATTTATTTCTGAACATCTCTAGAACTCGTTGTATTGTTTATAACAAAAGTTACGCTAATTACTACATCGCGTGTACATGTACACACTTTGATACTCGATATCCCACTATTCTGGTGTTAACCGCTGCCTTATAATAATTCCATGTGTTACCAGCGGTGCTCCAATCTATTACGACCACGTTAACATCATCCTATACACAATTCCATTTCACATGAAAAATGAACGATTATTTGAAGAAGATTGCTATCGATTTGCAATCTTCAACTACTTACCCACTCGAGAAATGCCTTTTCCATATCCTTAATCCAAGTTTCTTGGCTGTGAGATAGGAAACCATGTATTATGATTACCGTCCTACGTTGTATCCTGAAATCTGTCCATTCTAAACCAAACTGTTCGCCGAGTACTACTTGTACTCGGCGCGGTTGTTTCCTAGAAGATAAAAAAAATTGCACGTCCAAAGCGTCGGTGCCGTTGGGTTTTTCCTTAAAGAACCGTTCCAGACTCGCCGCGACTGTCTTTCCCAGACCAAAGCAATCTATTTGTAGTTCATCTTGCGATGAATTGCTCAACAATTCGTCTGTACGACTAGATAACGTATATGTAAAATTTGCCAAGGTAGTCTCGTTATATAGAGATACAGTGTTTGTAATGTACGCCGTTTCATTCAATGCATATCCAATAGGTTGAGTTATGTTTGTCACGTTTGAATGCCACAGGCAAAAACACACTCCGACAAAAAATTGATATAAAACGGCAAAGAACGATAGAACAGGAATGATACACGCCATCGTTGTGTGCTAATATTGTAGTCTTCGATATGGCATTTATGTTATTCTCGATTAATAGATATGTGTACGAAATACTCGACTCTACTACGTTACTTTTGATTCGATAAGTGACGACAATTTGTGCTTAATCACACAATTTCTAGACAAACAGCTTTTTTATTCTTATCCGGTCAAAGCAGCATTGATTACGTACAAATTCCCGATAACACCAATTATCAAATTAAACACCATCTTGATTTAGAAAGACACTCAAAAGGCATTCTTTATTTCAATCAAAATGAAATAATCGTTTGACTTTGTCAGTTTTAATTGTGCTTTATTATTTTTTTTTTACTATAATACTTTTCCCTATTAATTACTAGTCGAACAAAAAAATATTTCTAGAATTTAGGGAATATGAATATAATTATCATATAGATTTTACGGAAATTTATTATTTTTCATAATTTTCATAAAAAATGCATAACAATTATATTTACATATGCCTTCATACAGATGTATCATCTGTATTCTGTACATTTAAATAAAATAAAAAAAAAAAAAAAAAACAAAGGACTAAATAAGCGAATAAGCGAGATTTTAGATTACTTTCACAAATATAATTTTCATGTTATAAAAAATTGTTGAAAAAAATGAGAAAATTTCATTAAAAATTCATTAAAGTAACATAATAATTGATATATTGTAAATATATGGAAACCTGAATGTATAGAAGTAATGCGACACTCGTGTATATAATTTCTACGATATTGTCAAGATTTCTCTTTTCTCTGAAAATAACTTGGAAAAATAAAAGAAAAAATCGCGTCAAAATTATATATTCAGCTTTTGCTTCTTCCATTTCCGATGCCTCTCCTTTTTCTTTTGCTGTAATGAGAAAAAATTTTCATGTAAAATACATTTCATGTAAAGTACATTTCAGGCATTGAGTTCATTCATATAAAAAAACGATATTTACTTACTTGAGATTGTTGAAATTGTGTTTGATTTGCGCTACTTTGCGTACTGCCACCTTGAAAGCTACTAAAATCTATTGATTTATAATCGAATTTTTCGGATGGTAACATACCCTGTTCCTTGAGTAATTTCTCATTTGTTTTTTTGTCGCCTCTCTTTCTAGCTCTGTCATCGAATTAAGAACTTGATTATTACTATACTGCTGTTATTTCACATATGTGATAAGCAACTTACCTCATTGTTTTAACCGTTTCAGAATTGTTATCACTCTGAATTTTTCCTACAAAGTTTTCTTGCATCTTTTGTTTTTGAATTGCTTCTTGTTTTGCTCTTCGTTTTGCTTTCTTGGACATATGCATAGTTTCATTATCTAAACACGGTGTCGGTATAGAAAAGTCATTGTCGTCGTTCTTTTCACGATACTCATTTCCAATATCGGATTCTCTCTTTCTTTTTCTATCATGCATTTGATTTAAGACTAGATGCTTAGATTTTTTCTTCTTTTTCTTGGACGACGTCACCTCTTCTGTATTTTTTAGTTGAGATACTTGTTTAAAATGTTGATAAACTCTATTCTTACTCTCGTTAATCTCAGCCTCATTTATATAACTGTCTGCGATTTTTACAGTTGAACTCTCCTCTCCTTTTTCCTGTTTCTCTTTCTTTTGCTGTATTTCTCGGTCTCTTGCTTCTTGATCTACTATCATTGGTATTACACACTTATATCTCATAAATGGGCTTATAAATATGGCCTTTTTTTTATCTTTTTCTTCATTGCTTTTTATCTCTTCATCCTGAAATAACAAGCACAGTCAATTGAAAATACACACACAAAATGGCGTTTTCTTTTTAAATATTTCCTATATATTTCTTATCATTATTCTATCTTAATAATTATTGTCACTTCATCATTTTTTTACCTGTGATATAACTGGTGTGTCAAATATCGTTACAGTATGCTTCATTGTCTTGGCCTCTAATGAATCAGACGTGATATTCTTATTCAAAAGACATGGCAAATCTGCTCTAGCTTCTGTACCGCTCGGTACATCATGTGGTATATATAAAGAAGCCCCTGTGTCCACTACATGATTTTGTTGAGTCGGCCTTTGCCGAATATCCTGCTCTGGAATAGACTTTACGAGCGGTTGCTCTCTAGCCTTCAACACTATCTTATGTATTTTCAGCAAGTTTTGTCGCACTAACGGTGGGATTGGATTACAGCACGCCAAAATACCTTGCATTTCGCGTGGCAAAGTCTCGGCTATATTCAGCAACATATGATTTGGTAATACGTAGCCGATACTATCGTCTTCCTCTCTCGCGGTAAGATCGCGCCATCTGTGCAATTCCAAGAGTGCGTACATTTGTTTATTATTGAATGATTTTTGGCTCTTTCTGTACACATTCATACAACTTTCTTCCGTCCAAATAGGTTTCACATATGTGCGTTTGCAAATGTCAGTGCTTTGATCATATACAGCCTTTAAGATATTACTCTTACCATTAGCTGCATCGATCAATTCATTTTTCAGCACATCCTTTATGTAAAGTAAATAGTGCGTGTCTTCTCTTGCATATTTCATCAATTCTAATGGTAAAGGCCTTATACGCCAGTCGGCCAATTGAAAATGTTTATTGGATGTTATATTGCAATATTTGTTTAATAAATAAGCCAAACTAAGATAAGGCAGGTTGAGTTGCTTTGCAGCTTGATGGGTGTCAAACATATTAACTACATAGAGCGACAAGTCTCTTTGAAGCCACAGAATATCCATGTCGGCACCGTGAAAGACCTTCAAGATAGAAGGTTTTGTAAAAATTTCATTGAGTTGATATAATTCTGATCGCAAAGTCAAAGTATCGATTAAATAATCAGTGTTAACTGTCGATATTTGCATTAGACAAGTTATGCCTTGAAATGTTCTATAAGAATGATGCTCCAAATCTACAGCTATTTCTTTATGATTTTTCAGATCCTCTAAAAGAATTTTGATATCGGAAGGCTTGTCGATGAAAGTGAATTTAGTATCGTCTAATGATTTATATTTTACAGGTACTCTCTTCTTCAATTGATATTCGGGCGTTTCAAACTTATCCAATTCAAATTCATAAGGATGATTGAAAACCTCGCCATGTTCTCCTTCTTCGACATAGAGAACTAATGGTTTTAGGGAATTTGGCTTCTCTTTGATTCGAGGCATCCATGGTTTTGGACTATTGTCAATTTTATCCTTAAACATCAATTGTGGTCTTTGTATATTTTTTCCACCTAATAATCGTACTTTTTCGGAACCATCTAATCCTTGGTCAGTATGATTTGTCTTTATATTCCAAGTACCATTCACAACTGGTTTTGGCATTTGCGATACGACCAATTCTACTTGGGGATTTCGTAGAATACCACTTTCTTCATCCATTAATATATTCTATAGCAGATAACAATAAAAAAATCATCAGGAGAAATATATTTATAAAAAAATTCAAACATTACGTATTTTATTGAACGCTCACAGCTTGATCTAACATGTAGTCGTTTGTTTCTAATAACAGATCAAATTTTTCATCCATGTTCCGAGTTTGAATATTAGTAGAACCTCCTGCTATCTTGATTATGCTTTGCATTGTAGCCAGCATTCTCTCTATATCCTTATGCCTGGCATCGTTGAAGCTTGGAAAGCAAGCATAGTAATTGAAATTGTCTCCAACAGGTAGATTGTTAGCTGCTTTGATTCCAGTTCTCATCGCGTCAAAAGCATCCTGAAATATATGACATTTGAATACTGTAATACTTTTATTTTATTCTCCAAAATATTTATCATATATAAACCAATACTAGCGAGTATTGATATGAACGAATAAGCATACCTGAATGTAATTATCGAAAGTATCGTATCCGGGAATAAAGCAAGTTAGCAACGTGTCTTTCCCTTCGGGTTCGATGTCATCGTTTTGCGAAGCACTCGCCTCATTATCAAAATTTTTGGCAAATTCCATATTTATCGCACATGAACTTGATTATTTTGTCAAAGTTTCACAATGTCTCGCTAACACTTATGTTACTTAATGTTGCTCGTTCTCTTCAGTCGTATTACTTCGTTTTCGAGCATTTTCGAGGTTATCCCTGTTCACATACTCCTATTCAACATACGCCATGAATATAAGGAGTCTGTTCTTTTCAGCTGAATTGGCTGCACTAGTTCAGAATTTATCTTTCTTCTTCCAGTGTAAGAAAGAAAGATAAAGTATAAACTAGTTCAGCCAAAAAGAACACACCTAAGCCTATGTTCGAAAATACCACCCGAGTGACTTCGTGTCGTCTTATCCTTGTTGTTCATCGAATGTTAAATAAGGATAAGACGATACACTCGGAATCACTCGGATGGTGTTTTCAAACGTAGTCTAAGATGATGCTATAAAGGCTGCATCCCGATATTCACTGCCAGTACGTGAAAATCTACAATATACCCAATGAATTTTCAGTACCAGAGGATCAATCATGTAACTTTATGTGAAATTTTTCACTTTTCATTTTTCACTTTTTACTTTTCATTTTTTACACCTTGACATTTCACGTGAAACTTTTCACGTACAGCAATTATGTATGTAGCTTGGATGCGTGGAAAGTGAAATCATGAAACATAGTTTTTATAGGTTTTATAGCTAATGAAAATTATTTTATTGGTACAGTATTATATACATCTTTTAATAACCAATTGTATATGTACTATGTACACTTAATCCTAACACAGCCCTAATCTTCTCTAATTCCGAAGCATATTTATTAATTCCCTAGATTTCCGCCTTTCCGCCACCAAGGTACACGGCGAAAAAGTTCACGTGAAAAATTTCACATTTTCACGTTTGAGAGAGTTACATGACTCCGCAAAATCGTACATGATCATAAGTTCACGTGAAACTTTTCACTTTTCACATTTCCGCCCTAGGGGAAAAGTTACATGATTGACCCCCAGTAGTGAATATCGGAACGTAGCCAAAGATAAGAATATGCTCGTGCGCATGGTCGCGCCCCTCGATGTACAACAACCAATAAGAATCTTTCACAAGATACGTCACCATTAAGCGCGAAAAAATATTGCACTTTCTGACTAGATCTCTTCGTCTTTTGATGTTAATTTTTGCATGCTGTTACCGCACTCATTTTGAATCTGCAGTGAAATCACTCAAACTTTTTAAAAAATAATAATAAAGAAAATTGTTCAATCGCATTTTTACACGTATCCATCGAACACAAAATGACATGGCTGCACATGCATAGCGTAAGACTGTCTGGACCAATGAAGTTTCAGCATAAAATCGTCACATTGATTTACATAACGTACTTGGTTCAGACAATCTTAAGTCCCGGTCTACAATAAGTGATTTAAGCCTTAAGCTATGTTTTTGAATAGGAGCTTATGCTATGAATGTTGTGCAGATCGACTTCGTTATTTAATATTTAATATATTTAATATATAAATTAACAACTTATCGCGGATCATGCACTCGCCAAGCGATTCATTCACTATTGGCGATGGTGTCACTGTCGTTGGTACCGCTGATCACCACCATTCTTAGGGCGCCACAATCATCGATGTCCGAATATTCGTTCGTTCCCGACGTTCACATCCAAAATTAGTAAATAGAGACGAGATGGCAGCGTTCGAACCGTGCGCCGTGTCGTCGTCGTCGTCGTCGTCTCTGTCGTCGTCGCCGTCGTCATCATTTTCGTCTTCGTCTTCCTTCTCTTCTTCCTTGACATCTCGCGAGAAATGCTCGGCAAAATGAAGTGGAAACGTGCCGTGCATCTCGCGATCGTCCAGAAAAGTTCGAGGAACCTAACTGTGTGACCGGCAAGTGACAAAATCTCACGCCAAAGTGTATACGTGAGAAATTACAAGTGCGGTCCCGCTGATGGACGGTATTTCCTCGAGAATTACCAAAACGGACGGATAGATAGAAAATTGGATGGAACGGTAGGAGGAGAAAGAGAAAGAGAGTAGTTCGCACTCCAGAATTCACACCGTAAGGTACGAATTCCCGCTATTTTTAGCCGGTCTACCGCGGCCAGGGCGAACGTGCGTGCATCTTTCTCAGTAATTCTCATTCGGAGCTTTCTATCGTCATCGTAGGCGACCGACATTTGCGACAAATTTATTATCCGTTGCCAGTCGGAAAAATATAAATTAGACAGATAAAATGAGACATTGCTCTACGAGCAAAGACTAGAAATCACAACACCGCAACCGGGTTATCTGAGAGTAATTAGAAAAATCGAAAAGATAAGTAAAAGATATTAGAAAAATGACAAATGCGGTAGAAAGTTAGAGAAGTTAGAGAAAAACAATCACAAAAATTCTGAAAATACAATTTAAAAAGAAAAGAAACTTGAAGATATTGCGAAGTATATTACCTAATGCTTCAGGCGATAATGATTCTACAATCAAAAACATTACATTGATCTTATTAAAAATAATAGTAATCTCGATACATATGCTTAATTGTGTGTGTGTGTGTGTGTGGGGGGGGGTGCGTGCGCGCGCGCGCGCGCGTGTGTGTGATACGTGATATCTATTTGCATGCACACCTTCGCGAGAATTCTCAATCTCTCGGTATTGTGGGCGTCATGTGGTTACTCAATAATAAAAGAAGAGCACATTCATCATTGCGAGAACGACACGCATACAATGCACGCGAATATGTACAAATATACACAGATATGCCGTGACATATATGTCGCATATATGTAGTCGACAAGTTCGCGCACGACGAACCGAGTGCCCCCGTAAATGGTTTATTAGAAAGGATTTCCACGAGGTATCAGAATGCTATTTTTGTACATGAACCTACATAACCGTGCAGCAACAGCGGTCACTCATACATTCATATATGAGTGCTATACATGTGTCTGTGTATGTGCGTGCGTGTGGCGCGTGCGCGCACTTCGGGCACACATGTTTCATGCACGTTTCGTTTGATCGAGTTGGATTCTCCTTCATTCTCACGTACTTGGTAAAAGACACCAGGATACACGACATGCGATATACATTCTACTTTCTATCGCAATATTCACGCAACATGATGACTGGTGCTGCGTCTCGAGTATATGACTCGACGACGTTTCTCACGAATTCAGTCATTGACGGCCGATTTCAAAGTAACCGCCTAAATCGTTTTTTAACATGCAACATCGAAAATAACTATACTTAATAATACATCGACATGAATCATAAGCACAACAGTAATCCTCGATTACAGTGATGTCATTCGTTGTACGTTCTCAAACGCGTCGCTAAAATGATCTCTCATCCAAGAAACAATAAGAGAGAAAAAACGAGGGGGAAGGGGGGAGAATATTGTGCGATTGAATAGTAAATCCTTAATCGTTTTACAAATCGGTGATAATTCTATTGGAAAGAATAGCAACGTGCGTAAATTAGAATTTCACGATAATTATATTTGAACATGACGATGTAAGCAAATGTGTGCGCGTGCAAACGAGTATCCTGGTTTCACGATCGAATTATAATTATAATTTCACTCTGTATAATTATAATTATTTCCATTATTAGTATGCGAAAAATGTAAAAAAATCGAAGATACATTTTGCGTGAATTTATATTTTATTCAAATTACATTACTTTAAGCATATAATAAATGATAATTGAACGGAGGGACCGGAGTCGATCAATAAAAAGCGAAAAGATATTAAGACAAGGACATAAAAGTGAATTGAAATGAAGAATTGAAGAATAGTAGATGAATGAATAATGACTTGCATGGAAGTGTACTTTGTCGCGCTATCGATCGATCCTAAATACTACTATTCCAGATAAAGTTGAATTAAAATAACAACGGAATTGGAGATTTTGCAGACAATTCTCCTTGAGAGAATTGACAGCCGGACACGCGGGAAGCTCCGATGAAAAATCTTCCTCAACCGCGTACGAAAAAGACGGGAGTCATTAGGACTCGAGTCGGTGGAGATTGCCGGTGGTAGTCTCCAAACGCGCGGTCTACGCGCTCGCTAAAAATATCGTAACGCGTTGAGCGTTGAGAGTTGAGCGAGCGACCGATCGGCGGGAGTGTCGAGAGATCGAGAGCGAAGCGGGCTTTTTGCGCTTATTTTCCCCCCGAGTGTCGCTTGACTTTCTCAAATCCATGTGATGTCGCGCGAGTATGTACGACCGAACAAAATCATGTCATATTACGGACGGAACGGACGTAATCGGACGCAAGAAACTTCGACTACGTCGCTTTTTTGGGTTTCATTCGTTATCACATTCCCTCTCGGAAGCAGATTATCGTATCATTACTCTCCCGTCGCAAGCTACGATCTGTGGGCAGCTCGATTTGCAAACGTGGATATCGCTGATCACCGCGTTGACTCGCGAATTATCCATATCATTAATAGCTGAGCGAGCTGACGAGCCTCTTGTCTTTTCAGACGAGGGCAAGACCGCGCACCGCGGTCGAGAACTTGGGGAGCTTTTCGGACTTGGGGTCCTTTTCGAGAACGTACTTGGCTTGAGTACGTGCGATGAGACGCGGCTAGAATAACGAATCACACTTTTTATTTCCTCTACTTGTCCAATCTCTGATATCGAGTATCGGGAATGAAATATAAAGAGTTTATTTTTGTTTTCTGTTCGTAAAGCGCAATTGATAGATTTCTTATTTATTTTCAATCTCTGACTCGCGATCGCTGACAACTCGAGAAGCATCGATATCTCATTATCTTGATTAATGGAGATACGATTGGTCTGGCGACGGTAAAATTTCAAACGCTTCGAAAATTATATATTTATTATATATTTTTGTGCCTGTGATTTATTTCGAATGGCGAATCAACGTCGGGTCTTGACGAAATTGCGGTATAATTTATACGAGTGCTTAGTTATCTTGGCGACGAAAAATTTTCGCAAAAAAGATTACGAGAATTGGCTGCGTGACCAATCACTTGCGATCTTCGGCAACGGTGCCTTTTTAATCAATTAAGAGTGAAGTTAACGACAGATTTCGTAGCCAGATATGACAATATGTTTATCCTTGTATAAAATTTCTTTTACTGAATAGGTCGATTGCATCGGCATATAATTCCTATTATAAAATGTGTAGGTGTGCGCGCGCACACACACACGTATGTATGTATGTATGTATGTATGTATGTATGTATGTATATATGTATTTATTTATAATAAAAACATATATGTGGATGCCGTCTCGAAGAATTTCTCTGAAGAATTTACGAATTAGCGTCGAGAAATCTTTGGTACATGTAGGAAGGACAAGAAGATAGCATAGGGAAGAAACTCACCGACGACGGGTCGGCATTGCATTGGCGTCTCGACGCCCAAAATAAACTCGCCACATTCTGCTTCTCTCTCTCTCCTCCCTCTCTCTCTCTCTCTCTCTCTCTCTCTCTTCTCTCTCCATCTCTTTGCTTTTGCTTTCTTCATTTCTTAATGTAAGATTCAGATGGCTATAGAGCCATCTCCTTCGTCGCTGTCATTCTCGTTTATGAGAAAGTAGAACCGTCCTGATAGTTCCGCTTGGAAAGCAGGAAGTAACTAGAAAAAAGAAGGTTGAAAAGGAAAAAGAAAGAAAGAAGAATCATGTAACGATAACGTTGATGTCTTGAAACTCATCCAAGACAGTGAAATTAAAGCGGAATATTCATCATCGAAAGAAACATTTAAATCTATGATTTTTTTTTTTTTCCAGATAAACGCAGACAAAATGGTTGTCGGAGAAGCAAGTATACATAATATAATGGGGGGAATGGAAAGCACGGGTGGCGTGCGTCTTCATAATCATAAACGGAAACTGAAGCAAAGGTGTGTAAATCGACTCCAACTGACAAGTTGAGTCGAATCCGCGTAATCCGCTCTTTTCTGCTTATACAAAAATGTTTTCAAATGTACGGCTTCAAAGAATTAAACTAGAAAGAAGATTTCAGTAATTGCTAAATATTGCTAAAATATTAGAGTAAGAGCAAAATATTAAAGTCTTTTGTGTTGATTCGATATCGTGAATCGAATGGAATTTATTAATTAGATAGTGCAATTTATAATTACATTGGGAATATTCTGAATTAAATTAGATCGATCTAAGGCGATTAAAGATGTTTAATTTCTCATCAAATGTATTGCAGATTCGACATCATAAAGAAGTTAGGACAGGGCACATATGGTAAGGTGCAATTAGGAATAAATAAAGAGACTGGTCAGGAAGTGGCAATAAAGACAATTAAAAAGTGCAAAATAGAAACGGAAGCTGATTTGATCAGAATACGAAGGGAGATACAAATCATGTCGAGCGTTCAACATCCAAACATTATTCACATTTACGAAGGTAATGTTTGTAACGAGATAATATAATTCGGATGACAACAAGTATAGGAGCGATCCATTTGTGAACTAACCAATTTTAGTTGATTAAAGTCTTTTTTGTCTGACGCAATCAAATTTGATAGTTATCGACCTGATTGACAAGAAAATCAACCGATAGATAGGTGCGATTGTGTGAAATCAGTTTTAACGATATCGACGTTCTTCAGTTGTTTGAATTGTCTAGCTAGATTCTTGAGAAAGAAACGTTGCTTTACAGTGTTTGAAAACAGAGAAAAGATGGTACTGGTGATGGAGTATGCGGCCGGAGGAGAATTATATGACTATTTGAGCGAGCGCAAGGTCCTAAGCGAGCACGAGGCTCGTAGAATATTTCGACAGATAGCCACCGCCGTTTTCTATTGCCACAAACACAAAATCTGTCACAGAGACCTAAAGCTGGAGAACATTTTGTTAGACCAAGTTGGAAACGCCAAGATAGCCGACTTTGGTCTCTCGAATGTGTTCGACGAGCAACGGTTATTAAACACGTTTTGCGGTAGTCCATTGTACGCGAGTCCAGAGATAGTGAAAGGAACTCCTTATCACGGACCAGAAGTGGATTGCTGGAGTTTAGGTGTTCTACTATATACATTGGTTTATGGTGCTATGCCCTTCGACGGGTCTAACTTCAAACGACTAGTCAAACAGATCTCACAATCCGATTATTTTGAACCCAAGAAGCCATCCCGTGAGTACGCTTTTATGCATGCGCATCAATATTCGATAAGAAAACATACTATAAGTAATTAAAAAATATAAATATTCGTTTTTGTTAGTTTCTGTAATTCTGATAGCGATTTAATATGTCGTTAATTCCTCGTTAATCTGTTGAAACAATTTTTAACATGTATATAAATTATACGGATATAAAGTAAGTACGCACAACAATCGTTCTTGTTTTGCTTTAGCCGCTTCGCCACTTATAAAAGAAATGCTCACGGTGTGTCCCGGCAGACGTGCCGATATCGAAAAAATTTGTACTCACTGGTGGGTGAACGAAGGCTATGAGCAAAATTGTCTCGATATCGCCGAGGATCTAGCAGCTCAGACTCCGGTTCGGCTGGATCTATTGCTCTCTCTGGTACCACAGTCGGCCAGCGCCGACAAGTTGCTAGTGGGCGATCAGCAGGCAGGTGGAGATGTCGCGAATAATATGTCTTCCGATACTCTGGTGCCTACTAGATGTCATTCAGTTGGTAGCTTAATGGAACTTGATCAGAATAGTTCCGACAGGAGAATAAGAGAGTTGCTCGAGGAGGAGCCGAAATGTTTCGCGACTGGAGACGCTAAGAGAAAATTGGAGACAACACCGTCGATGGACGAGACGACCGCGGCAGGCGTGAAAAGGAAAGAGAGATCCCGAAGGAAAGAAAAGTCGGACGAGAGAGAGCCTAGGGCATATAGATCTTCGTCAAGGTAGATTATAGATATTTCTTTGGAAATCATTTATTTCGGTTGGCATTAAGATATTTAATTTCGATTAACGTAAAGAAATAAATATTGAAAATTGTTATCTTAGGCATCATTCGGCTCCAATTCCAAATTCTATATCGGAGGAAGCGATGGAAGTGGAACCGGCAGCCATTGTAACTGTTCCTATAAGTAAGACTGTTGATTTTGATAAGATAGAAGGTGCAGCAGCTTGTTTAGAATTGATTGAAGAATCAAAGGAGAGAACACCGAGTAAAGAGAGGGACAAGAGTCTATTGATAAGTGAATATGAACAATCACGCGTGCCGATGTCTACCGAGAACGTTCAGCAGATCTGTGAGATTAATCGAAAGGCTAACGATGAAGACGAGTCACAGCAAAAGTATATCAAGTCTCCTAGCGATAGTTTACATGAGAATATGACTGAGAAAATTGCTTCAGAAAGCACGAAGAAAACAACGAATGAGATAGTGTCCAGCAGAAAGTCGGGTGATGTAGATTCAAAGGTGCCAAATAAAAGCGATACGAATGTTAAAAACGAAGCGTATCTATTGCAAAATGTGCAACAACTAGAACCAACGGAGAGTGATTTTAAAAAGCTGAAGGAAAAGGCACTCTCTTTAGATTCCGAATTATCGAATGAGGTGGCAAGCGTGCCACCAGCCAAATCCGTTGAGAGACGGCGCTCTAAGATATTTGAAACAGCTGAAAAGTTCAATCAATTATCATCTACCGTAGAAAACGAGAAACCTAAAAAGATATTTATTCCTGGCGTCAATGTGGGAGGCGCGAAACGAGCCTTTGAACGAAAGGCCAGTCTCTCTTCCATAACTACACCATCCCCTACGAAATCCAGCGCCTCCAAAGTTATTATCGATGTGTCAACCAATAAGAAAAATGAGAAGGATGAGCAGAAGCAGACACTTGGAGATCGGGAAATCGAAACTACCGAACATAAATCGGATAAGCGAGACGAAGCAAAAAAACGTGCTGTCGATATTATTAGTGGTGCGATCGGCAAGCCTCCGATGCAAAAGAAGCTGAATGGCTCGCCACCGATATCGCCTCAAAGCCCGGATTCTAAGAAATTTGGACTGAAGATACAGGTTGCACCGAATGACGTGCGATCGGCCACGATATCAGTTTCTACACCGATTGAGACAAAATTCGATCTTGATGCTAAATCGATCGCATCGGAAGCAACTGTAAGTACAAAATCAATTATCGTTATTAATGTATTTCATCATAATTATGTATTTCATATACATGTTCGACTCGCATTTTTGTTTGTTGCATAGTTTTGTTTTGTTTTATTTTTTTTTTTTAATTAGACGACTAGTACATCTGATGTCGAAAATTCACAATTGGAGGAACCGAAAATGTCTAGTAAAATGGAAATAACGTTAAAGAGTGCAACATTGCCTAGACGAAAAACGAGCAAAGCTGAAATTACGTTGTCCGGTGTCAGACCGTCGGAAACTGTAGCGTTCAAGTCTGAGGTAGAAGCTAAGATCGATGCTTTTCAACCACAGAAACTGCGTACACAAAGATCGGAAGTGGCATTTCCGGTTGCTGCGGCAGCACCCTATAATACAAATAGGAGTTCGAGCTTAGAACCGGAAGGCAGACCTAAGGCTACACCGAGAGAAAGAATTATACCCATCCAGGTACAGAAAAATGGACATGTTTCTTTTGAATGCATAAGTATATTTGTCTACAATGTAACAAAATTAACTTTCACTCTGCGAAATATAGATAGAAGCAGGACTTGAACGTACACAGCATTCATCCACTTCACCGCCTAAACCACTAATGTCCCAGAGATCGACGTCTCAGCGATCAGGTTCTCTATCTCGCCAATCGACTGCCGATTCAGATACGGACAGCGCTCTCGGATCAACTGTAGGACCGGAACCGATCAGAAAGAGTCCTAGAGAGTACATAATTCCTATTGCTGTAGAGGGTGGTGGTTACGTTACTCCTAGATCGGGTAGTCTGGAACCGGAGAGTAAGACTAGTACGCCAATAAGTACGAACCCACCGAGATCCCGATTCGGTAGACCAAGGAGAATGAGCTCTCTTTTATCAGATGCTAGTGAAGATGAATCTCCCTTCTCTCCATTGCATGGGTAAACGATACATTATTTTAACAATTCATTAAATTCGATTTTGTTCGATACAATTCGACAACATTAATTGACGACAAATTTTATACAAATTCAACTAAATTTAAAGTGTAATATTTTTCTCGGTAGGGAGGATTTGTTGCAAAGACATATGCATCGATTGAGGAGTTCGCGACCGTCTAGGCAGTCATCCGAGCACATTGACAGCTTATCATCTGGCGAGGACGATGATGATGATGGCTTCGAGTTATTGACTGCCGAAAATTTGTTCTCTACGTTATTATCCAGAGTGCGAAGTTTGACGCAGCGACTCAACGTTGATGATAATCGAACCGGTGGTTTTCCAAGTAGTAGATTGTTTGGCAGACTCGGCTCCCAATCATCGCAAGCATTTTGGGGTCTTAACAAGCCATTATCCAGGTAAATGATTTCGAACTTCTATTCTGTCGAATTCATGTGAAGAATAGTATGATTATTTTCGATTGAATCATTTCAATATATCGCAGGCATATCGAGATATGATAAAATTAAATTTTGTACATTAACGCTGAGATTAATGATTAATAAGCTTGCATTAACGATTAACTTATTATTTACTAAATATTTTTTTATGATGACGATGATGATGATGAGAAATGATGATTTTATGCTTGTTTGTGCAAGCTACAAGAGCTATGTCGAAACACGGACCATGACTACGTGAGTCCAATTGTACAGAAAGAAATTGTAATAGAGAACTTAGTGTTCGCGCCTGCTAGCTGAGACACAAATAGTAGGAATTGTCCCGCGCGTGCCGTTAAAAAAACGAATTACAGAAATTGCAATTGGACACACGCTATAAGCAGGTTAAAAATTAGATCGCATATTAATACATATATCGCCCACTTTAGCTTAACCATATATCACATCAGATACTTAACAGTAATGTATACGTTGTGAAAATAAACACGCCCGAGATACTTATCAACCCGCTGATAGGCTGACACTCTTTGCTTCTTGCTAATACCTTCTTGCTAATACTTATACTTTCGCCTTCATAGACACTAACTTATTTTGCACTCGCTCGTATTGTAAAATTTTCTACTGTGGATATAAATATCTTTTTCTCTCTCGCTGTCTCCTTTCTAATGTATGTTTCGAGCGTACATATTTGATTTAAATAATAGCTTATCATTTACATAAAAGTGATGTTTTGTTGTTTTTTTTTTTTTCTTATGCAGACGGCTCTCAGAATCGCAATTTAAACATTCTCTGAATCGCGATACGGATATATTTTCAAAGAGAGACTCTGCAAGTACTTCCAACTCTGGAATTCCAAACAGCCCTGGATCGCGTGGCACACCTTCCAGAGAGAGTGTTTTTGAAATCGGGAACAATACGTTGCCAAGAGGTAAGAGAGTGTAATCATTTTACAATTTAATGTGGTACCTTACGCGCAAGATTGTAAGACAAATCATATACGTGCACGTAATAAAAATCAATATTTAAGATGATAAAGATGATAAATTTCCTTGGTATTTAAATAATCAACGAATCCATCTTCGACCAAGGTCCACTGCAAATTGTACATACGAATATTTAATGTTGTAGAATGTTGACCCACATCTTTACAGAAGCCAAAGATTTTTATGTGATTTTTGTTCTTTTATTTGTTTTGGATATATCTAAATAGACTTGATATATCAATAATTGACAGTTTTGTAATAATCATGTACTGTGTTAATTTAAAGTAAGATAGATGTAAGAGCTTCTGTTAAGTCGCTATGGTCATCATGCTATTTTGTCACTGGTTAAACTTATTAGCCTTGTGAGAAAATGCTGGATGGTATTCAATATGCATCTCCTAGTATCAAGCTGTTGTCGAGTCGTTGATAGACAGAGCACATCTTTTTGTTTATTTCTACCCTTACTATTTCTGTTTTCTTTTTATTTTCTTTCCATTATATTAATTTTTGGATTTCTTGCCTGACAATGTTTTGCAACTTTTGGTACTAACACCCTATAGATTAATTATATGGTTCATGTTTGGCACAGATGGGTATATATCTGATGGGTATATGTCTGAAACAGATCTCTTGTTATTTATAAATTTATATACTCTTAATTATCGTATCGAGTAAGAAAAATTACATAAGAAAATTACATCAATATAATATCAAATAGTATTTAATCATTGACACTTGCACACATATAACAATTGCGCGCGCGTTCACATATACACGACACACACATTTTTAGAACCTGCATTTTTAAAAGCATGTTTGCACGATCCTTTGAGATAATTTATTTAATGACTTTTTTTTAATTAAGTTTAATTTTGTCAATTTTCTTCAATTTATTCAAATCTATAAACTACAAACTCTGTGATACGATATTTGTAAATTAATATAATTTTTAATATAAAATATATGTATTATATATGTTTGAGCATTGAAATAGCTAATAATAATAAAGTAACAGATATGATCTGTTTTAAGTAAATGAAAGAAATAAACATAGAATAAATTGCAAGCTCACTCTGCCTGACATAGAACCTTGTAATATGCCATAGTTGTTGCATTGCACTGCTGCTGTTGATTTTTATTATCTTATAACATTGTAGTAGCAGTTTCTTCTTTTCCATTTACCCAATGTACATTAAATTTTGAAGCATAATTACGTACCATACGTACGTATCCATATATATACATATATAATGTACAAGAGTCTCAAATTCCATTATCCAAGACAGAAATCCATGTTTAATTCAAATTCATGCATTAATTACGTCTATCGTCGACTCTTCAATCAGACAATTGAAATAATTGTTTGTTAGTATTCTTGTGTGCAAATCAAAATCACGTAAAATTTTTATAATTCTTAAATTTATGATTCTCAATTTAATTAACTTAATGACAGGGACTTCTAGACTTTTTAAAAAAATTCAATCAATAATATTTAATCAATAAATCAAAGCTTTTGTTTTACTATTTTTTATTCCGTTTTAAAAATTTTAACAAAAATAAAAATATGCAATTAAGAAAAATAATAATGGCAATAAAAGAGAAAGTATAAATTTTTTTGAAAATAATATAATAACCGCGAATTTCCAAGGAAGACCCTGTTTAATACAATATATATTTTTACAAAAATGTAAATATTTGTATATGTATTTGTATATATGTATGTGTGCACGTGTGTGTGAATACATGTGTATGTACGTATGTATGTACGTATATATACATATACATAAGTATGTATGTATACATATGCATACATACATACATGTATTTATTATACACACACACACACACACACACATTCACACATATCTATATTAAGATCTCTTATTGCTTTGGCCATTAAGTTAGCAAACAATTATTATCCAAGATGTACTGTAGAAAAATCTACAAGTGGCGTCATTTTGTAATACGTTGATTGACGGTTTTATTGACGGTTGTTGCAGCGACCGTGCGAGTGACTCTACGTAGGCGGGCTGACGGTAATCCCCAGTAGACAAACCAAGTTAGGTAGCAATATCTTGTATGCCTAATTCAAAGTGAATGTGACGCCAGTAGTAAAGTCGCACGTAGTCTTACTATATTGAGAATATAAAATAATAAAGAATATCTTTCGTTGTCGGTCGCGCGCGCACGCGCGCGCCACACACACACACACACACACACACACACACACACACACACACACACGTTCGAGCATCGTAACATCGTGATACGTCGCAAACGGTACATATTGCATGTACTGCAAGCCGGTATTATGGGCTTGTGTGCTTCTTGTGGTACCCGGGCGTCCCGCGTGAATACGTGAAAGTCTAATGCCGCATACTGGCGGGCCGCATTGTGCGCGCGGATGCATACACAGTGTCGGGGAGAAACCCCCCCCTCCCCACAGG